TATAATATCAGGAGAGAGAGAGACTAGAGGTATACTTTCTGTGGTTGTGCAACAACAGGAAATGGCGCAGCGAATAAAGTTTCACGACAAGCACAACTGATTAACTACGATTAATCTGTAATCGATCAGATTACATTAATTCGATAAGACAAAGGATACATATACAGCACCACCATCACGGGCGGCAGGGTGACGCGGCGCCGCTCGTAGCAGGCCGGGGATGAAGGTCACCTTGATGGCAGTCTCATCCTCTAGGATGTTTCCCTTGGAGGAGGAGAGGATCTCCAGAATGCGATCCTCTATCTCCTTCAGCTGCTTCTTGTTGCGCGCTGACTCCACGATCAACTCGTTCTTCTTCTCCTCCAGCTCTGGCTTCTCCCTGCGAGAGAGAGAGAGAGACCGGTCAACGTCACACGCAGGGAGGAGGGGGTGGGGCGGGTGTAGGGGGAAGGGAGAGAAACACTCTATTTATCCATCTGTCCGTCCATCCGTCCGTCTGTTCAACCGTCCAACCATCCATCCCTTCGTTTGGCCATGATGACCAGCAGCACCACCTGGTGGCGACGACGCGCCCAGCAGCCCCACCTGGCGGCGACGATTCCCAGCAGCTGGTCCTCGAGGCCGAGCGGCGTGATCATGAAGTTGAGGACGGTGACCTTGACGGAGACTTCCGGCAGGTAGTGGGGGTTGCGAAGACACGTCGTCATGTAGAAGCGGAACTCCGGCGAATACTCAACCACGTTCTCCCCCAGACGCAGGTACTCCACGCCACCCTGAGACACACAGAGACACTCCGCCGTCAGCGTGGAGGTGGTACGTGAGGGTCTACATACCCAGGGTAATGAGCTATGGTCAGTGTTAGGTAGGTAGGTAGGTATCTATGACCCAGGGTAATAAGCTATGGTCAGTGTTAGGTAGGTAGGTAGGTATCTATGACCCAGGGTAATGAGATAGGGTCAAGTACACCTGTAACATTGCGACACATCGAAGGTAGTTTCCCTGTATACACCTATACCTACACACACCTGTACCTACACACACCTGTGGCTGCACACACCTGTGGCTGCACACACCTGTACCTACATACACCTGTACCTACACACACCCGTACCTACACACACCTGTACCTACACACACCTGTGGCTGCACACACCTGTGG